CACATGGGAATAAGACTGTCTTCAAATTTCAAATAATTAATTTTGTTCTCACCCTTCTCTCCTGAGAAATCTCCAGTATTAACCTCCCCAGGGACACCTCAGGAGTCTGGTTGGGAAAGGAGCCACAATGCACATTTAGCATATTTTTATGATTAGCAAAGAATGGTTCTAAATCAGACCCAGTCCTTTGTGCCTATCATTAGAAGAAAAAAAGAGTAGGGTTACTAAAAAGTAACCAGTTTAATGGAGATTTGAGTGTCAAAAACCAGTAGTGACTAGTGTTTTATGGTGACTATAAGACACCCTAAACTAATCCTAGAAATACTAGAGCCTTTCAACTCCACCAGGTCAAAGCAAGCTTTGTAAAATCTAATCTAAAACAAAACGTGACAGAACCATTCTCAGTTTGCATTTGGTCTAAAACTGCAGAAATGAAACATACTCAACCCTGTTCACTGGAGAAATAGTTCACGTTAGTTCCAGAGATCAAATAAGATTCATTTTCCTACTAGGTATAATTTGCCACTACAGAACAAGAAACCTCTACTTCTGGGAACAGCAACACATGTCTGGTTGAGGAACAAAAGCACCTGCCAAAACCACTGTGGTAAGGGGCAGAGGGTGGGTTCAACAAACTCATAGTTTGTGGGCTCCTAAATAAAGTAAACAGTTAGGAAACCACTAAATGGAGTCACAGATTCGTATTCTGAAGAACCCCGGGTTGATGAGTTAAAGATACCTGCATCAAGAGTTCCCACTGCCAAGACTCAGGCCCCCGGCAGCAGCCTCCCTTACCCAGTCAGTGCAATAGACTCCTGGCCCTCTCTTCAGTCTTAACATGGCTCCTGCTGATCCTTTATAAAGTGAGGCCTTTAGTTTCAGCCTGCCCAGGCTGCCTAACACAATACTAGAGACTGAGGAACTTAAACAAAATTTATTCTTCCCAGTTCTGGAGGTTGGGAAGACTGAGTTAGGGTGCCAGCATGATTGGGCTCTGGAGAGGGCTCTCTTCTTGGCTTGCAGACAGCTGTCTTCTCATGTGACAGCACAAGCAAGCTCTGATCTCTCCTCCTCTTCTCATAAGGACACTAATTCTATCATGGGGTCTTATGATTATCTCCCAAAGTGTGTACCTCCAAATACTATTAAACTGGGGAACAAAGATTCAATAGGCGACAGCAGCTCAGGAGGCTGAGGTAGGAAGACTGAAGCCAGCTTCAACAACTCAGCGAGACCCTGTCTCTAAATAAAATATTTTTTAAAAGGGTTGGGGATGTGGCTCAGTAGTTAAGCACCCTTGGGTTCAATCCCTGGTAACAAAAAAAAAAAAAAAAAAAAAAAAAAAAGATTCAATATGTGAATTGTGTGGGGACACAAACATGTAAACACTCAGTCTTTAACACCAAGGAATATCACTCCTCTGCTCATATTCCTCCAATGGCTGAAAAAAAGATGTCCTTACACTGGCCAACAGGCCCTATGGTGGTGGTTTCCATGGAAAGGGCATAGTCCAATAGGGAATGCTTAGGAAATCTGTAAGGGCATTTCTTGATGGCCACAGGGACTGGAGATGACACAGGTCCTAAGTGTGGGGACCAGGGAGGCTACATAGTCCTGATGATCCAAGATTAAGCTGCATCTGCACACTGCTCTCATGTTTTCCCAGACACTCACACGGGGCCAAAAACCTTTACTAATTATGCAATCTGCTTTACACATAAGCACAAAAGTAATTTTGGCATGATTCCATACACTAAATTTTCTCAAATGGTAACTACTATATGTCAGGTAAGACTACACTTCCTTATATGGAACATTTCCAAGAAGTTTACCACCTGGGAAAGCAGTCTCCACAGGTGTGGTGACAGCCTTGCTGCATTAGATCCATCTGCACCGACAGACACATCATTCTCTAACAGGCGGACAGCAGTGTAGGCTCAGCATTATGTGCTGAATTCTGCATATGTGATTAAAAATTACTTTTCTAATATCTTTGTTTTAGATTACCAATGAGTAACACATTTCTTTGTGAAATGGGTGTATGTAGGTCACTGTCTATAAATTTTGTTTTAAGGGAGAATGGGCCACTCTTTCCCTGATTGGCCCCCATAACCTCTCAGCATGGTTCACCTCCTACTCCACTCCAGCCATTCCGACTTCAGTGCTTCTCAGCCAAGGACACTCCTGCTCCTACCTGCTATGCCTTTCCCCAAAAACATGCCCTTGTCTCCTTGAGGTCTTGCTTAAAAGATACCTCCTCAGTGGGGTCTTCCCTGTTTAAAATTGCTGTCCTCTCACCTGGTCCCAATGTGGCACTACCCATTCTGCTTCTCTGCTCTGTGTTTTTTCTCCACAGTTCTTTTCACCATGAATTTCTTTCCTGTTTCTCCACTAGAATGAAAACTTTGTTATTATTATGGTTTTTTTCTTCTTTTTTTGCTTGTTTTGTTTCCTTACAGAATCATCCTTAGGAACTACAGCAGCATCTGGATCCCTTCATAATCCATGTATATATTAACGATTTAAAAATGCTAGTCTTAAAACTTTAGTTATAACCCCAAAATTAAAATTAAATTGCCAACTCAAATTATCAATGCATTAGCACCTTTAATCTTTGTAGAGAAATAAAAATTGAGGCTCCTGGTAAAAAAGGGTTGAACTTAACTTTAAAAGGCCAGCCTAGGGCTGGGGATGTGGCTCAAGCAGTAGCGCACTCGCCTGGCATGCGTGCGGCCCAGGTTCGATCCTCAGCACCACATACAAAGATGTGTCCGCCGAAAACTAAGAAAAATAAATATTTTAAAAATTCTCTCTCTCTCTCTCTCTCTCTCTCTCTCTCTCTCTCTCTCTCTCTCTCCCCCGCCTTCTCTCTCTCTCTCTCAAAAAAAAATTTAAAAAAAAATAAAAATAAAAATAAAAGGCCAGCCTATTCTTATCAAAGCAACGAGACCGAGAACATAATGAATACTACTTGAAACTGTTAGACCAACAGGATTTCCTAAGTGTCTTTTAACTCCTCTCCTTCTCCCCCACCATCAGTTGCTGAATTCTACCTCTCACCTTTCCCATCCCTTCTCTTCCCTCTACCCCTTTTCAGGTCACCTCCTATCTCAAGTCACCCTCCACACACTGTTGCTGGATTCATTTGAAAGCAGAGCATCAGCTGAGTCACCTGCTTAAGCACATTAATGGTTCTCAGCTTCCTGTTGAGTCAGTAAGGCTTTATATACCACATAACTCCCCTCCCCTCCACTCTAATGTGTCCCTAAAGTCCTGCTGCATGGGGCCCATCCTTGCATCCAAACCAGCAGCCTCCTGTTCTCTTTCCCAGACCTCTCTCCCAACTGAAACTCAACTTAGCCCCATGGCTCACCTCCAACACCACAGATTCACACTGCCTCTCCTGCGGCAGATGGTGCAGGCTCCCAGCACATTACCAGTACCTCTCCTGCACACATAGAGAACTTGGCTCTGTGTGGAAGCTCTCTGTATTTGACTTTTCTCCCCATCAGACCACTGGGTACCCTGAGGACAAGGTTTCTGTTTTTCATCTTCATGTCCATACAGCATCTTTCCCAGTTTAGGTTCTTTAAATACATGTTAAATGGAGTAAAAAAGAGGTGAGTTCTTTCAGCTCTAAGTTACAGGAGAGAACAAATTGACTTGTATGTATGACTAAGTAACAGACAAGACAATTTTGCTGGATACAGCTGAAGCTACTTAAAGACTTGGAGAAGATCAATTTAAAACTGCATATGCAGAGAAAAGCAGAGCAGAAGGCAGCAGCTTGGGGAAAGGTGCCCTGCCTGGAAACACTGGAAACCGAGGCAGGGTCCTAACATTCAACAGCCAACATGTTTCTCCTAGTCCTTTGTGACTAACTGATTTTTCACCTTTGTACAAAATAGGAAATTCTGAAATTTAAAGATTTCTGCTTTCCTTTTAATGCATTACAAGTCTTAACCATGAAGAACAGATAGTACAGATGAAATTCTTGGAACCTGAAATGAAAAGTCAGCATTACAGTCTTCTTGTGGTCACTCACTCCTGAGACAGCTAGTTCTTTGGGGGCTTAAAGTTCTTGCTGTTACAATCAGGGCCCAATCAGGTGAGGCAGGATGCCTGTGGTACCCAGGATAGGCACAAAGTTTGCTACTGAATTGACAAAATGATATGACCTTTTGACACAAGCCAAATAATTTTTCATCTAGACTATTTCAAAAGCTTTCCTCAACAAAGGAACACTACTGGCTGTGCTCATGAAAATAACGAGCCATAAAGTAGTGCCACAAAAAAACATGCTGGTGAGACAAACTATAGCCAAATGAGAATTACTACCAGACAAGCAGAAATAACACTGAAAGTTCCAAATCCTGAGATTTGCATGGCTTTATCTAGGAAGATTACCTTTGAAATCAAATACAATTAATTTCCCAGCAGTAGGGTTCCACTCTGCTAACTAGCATCAGGAAGATAAGATCATAAGATAGACATATGAGAGGTTAAACAAAAACAAGCCCAGTCTTTTGCTCCCCTCACTACAACAACCAAATAAAGTGGTTAGCTTGGATGAATGTCAAATCTTATAGCCCTCAGTTATTTCAGACTATAAAAACAAATGAGTAATTTGAGGAGCTGAGAAGTCATCTTTGTGTAATTATGATAATAAGATTCTAATCATCAGGACCTAACATATCTAATGCAGCATAAAGACTAACTACTAAAGCTATTAATAGAAAAACCTAGAGCTATTTAAAGTCTGGACAGAAGCAAAATAGCAAAAAAGATAAGACCCGCTTCTTCAACTGTTCACTTAGTGGATAATCAATTCAGGCTACAGACACATGGTTTGAGCAGAATTCATTTCCCTCCCTTTATTCTATTATCCTTTCTTATTTTATTAAATAACATATAACTGTTTTCTCTCTTTCTTTGGAATATGTTTACTTGGAAGCAGCTAAGCAAATGTCCAAGGTGCCCAAGGACCAAATCGAAATTACCTTCTTTTAAAGTCCACTTGATGGAGCCTGTCCTCTTGCTGACAGCATGCAAGCTTCCATCCAGCGTTGACACAAACAACAAGGTTTCAGGCAGTGTCACTGTGCTGGTACTTCCAAAAATCTGCAATGGGATGTAGAAGATTCTCCATGTCAATATGATTCTTTGCCTTGGGATGTATAATCCCAGACCCCTTCCCCGAGTTATCCCTCATGAAATCCTCCATCTCACAGATGGAAAAACTAAGATTGGAACGGCCTGCGTTCCCATCAAGAGCACATGTCTAGACAAGAGCTGAATCAGGACTGGGACCAGGTCACCTATCCTATCTCACTGTCAATCCTACCTGCAGAGAAAACGGTTTATGACCTAACATGACAAGGACAAAAATTCCGAAACAATCTGCTGGCAGTGCCCACTGACAGGGAGAGGGACAGTATGCTCAGCTTTCTGACTTCCCTCCGGGACCAGTTGCCTATTTTACTCTCTAAAACCTGGGCATTTCATAAGACTCCATGAATAAAAAAAAAAAGAATAAAAATAAACACACACACACACACACACACACACACACACACACACACCACATACGCATACACTTATGAATAAAAGCGTGACCTCAAACTTCAAACTGTTCCTCACAAGCAAAATACAATTAAATTAGAATGTACCTTTTCCTGCTAAATGTTATTTAAAAAATTCAAAATATTTTTAAAGAAAATATCCAAAGTCTATGAAATTATCTTTCTGATCCACTGCTGGTCATAATAAAAATTACAAATTAGTAAATAATCCTTCTAGGAAATACAAAAGTATTCATACTTCTGGATCTTGTAATATTTCTAGAAATAAAGAAATAATTTCAGATATGCAAAAGCTCTGGGCACAATGATATTCATTACATCCTATTTACGTATAACAACAACAAAAACCCCAGGAAGAACAAAATTTCTAATATCTAAAAGGCTAAAATAAATAAGGATACATAAACTGAATAAAATGTTACATAAGCATTAACACAGAACTTTAAAAAATCTCCAATACAGAAAAATTCTTATACATGTTATCCAGTAAAAATTTTAGAATCCAAAGTGTGATGTACACAGTGGTCATAATTATACTGGACAGATTTTTGTCTGCCTGGCTTTGCTAGAAACTGGACCCTCACCCATAGTATTCTCAGGTGCAGTCATGCGTGCATGCTAGCAAGATTTCCTAGGGACCCACTTAGCAATGCAACCCTGGTAATAAGATTTTCCCTTCCTTTGTGACTATTCCACAAATTAGCTGGTTCCTGTGAGGGGGTCTTGAATCAAAAACAGGACAAAGCAATTTGCTTATACTGAAACCATTTGAATTTTGTCATAAATGCTATTTTTAAAAAATTGGACTATGGTTGACTTTTAGCATTAAACACAAAAGTTATGGTGGGTTGCTTGTGCATGAGAGCCTGATTCCAGAATGCCTTGTCTCTCTCATTAAGAACCAGGATGAAGCCTAGTTAATCCTTTAAAAATTTAGGCCCTGATGGCACTCTCCAGAGTAGGCTGAGTTGGGGGGTCAAACACTCCAATCTTTGAATTCCTTTTCCATGGGGGAGACCCACTAGTGAAGGGGGGATGGGGTGTTAGAACTGCTGCCAGAACCTTGCTCTTTCCATCTATCTCTTGGAAGTGCCTGGAGGGGGGAAAGGTTCAGCCTTTGGCTTAATCCCGGGCCACGCCCACTCCCTGGAGGAGGAGGAACAACAGCAAACTTTACTGCTGCCTGCTGGGTCCATCCTCTGTGAAAGGTCTAGAGCCTCAGGAAGAGGAATCTGCTTTTAATTCTACCTGTGTAACCAGGAAACTAGTCTCAGATCTGAAATGGATGGGAAAACAGGAATCTGCCCAATCTGAGGATCCAAAGGACACTGTGTTAGGAATGGTTAAAATCACTTTAGCCCAGAAGGTAATAAGCCACATCTGGACCTGACATGAGGAAGCTGCATGGTCCAGAGCACCAGGCTGTTGCTAAATGAGATAGCGCTATCTCCCAGAGAAGAGAGTGTGTTTGCAGCTTGCTGTTGGATGTATAGATCAGCTTAGCAGGAGCAATTCCAAGGCTGAATAAATGACAAGGTAAATGTATGCACACCTGGGGGCCAAGATGTGGACCCTTCCACCTACTGGTCAAATAGTGACCACAGGAATAACCATTGTATAACAAGTCTTGGAATCTAAGAATTGAGTTGGAATCTCTGGGTGGCTGAAGTAGAAAGAAAACTTGGGAGAGTACTATGAACACGTTCTCTGCCATGTGGTAAAAGCTGGATGATAGGAAGAGAAACAAAAGGAAGGCTAAGGAGAAACATGGCTCACAGATTGAGACAGAATGCCTGACTACTCTTCCCTGGGATTCAGAGACACCCCAGTCCTAAGAGTAAATTTCCCTCTTTGCTTAAGCTTGTTGGAATCAGGCTTCTGTCACCTGCAACTGAAATAGTCCATGCCTCGGACACTCCTATTTTTAAAAATACAAACATAAAAAAAGATGAAGAAAATACTGCACAATTACACCAATAGTACTTTTTCTTCTCTGACTTTTCAATAATATGATGCCATTTATATTGAATCTTTTATGAAGCAAAAAGGAGATGTACAAATTAGGAGGTGACAGAAAAGCTACAATTTGAAGAAGCTTCAGCAAGCACCTGAGTTCTAGATGAAGTGCTTTCTATCTCAGGATATTAGGCAACTTGACCACCCTCGATCATCAATACCAACCAGGAAGGGACCAAAACTTGAAAACACAGAGGTCTCCTAATCAGATCATATACATCTAAGAGCAAGAGTTTGTTGTTACTATTAAAACTTACAGTGTAACAATAATAAACTAAATGTTCCCGAATACATCTTTTCACATAATTAATATTTAAAAGGGTCAATATTCACTAAAACATATCAATGTTACTTCGCTATGAGTGGAGACAAAAGCCATCTGCCTTGTCTGAGCATATTAGAAACCACAGGAAGAAAAACTGTCTATGGTTGGCTGGTGAATCGAAATATAATACTAATCACACAACTAATGTAGTCTTCTAAAAGTCTCGAAAACACAAGGGTTAGAGAAAAGTTGAATTTAGCAACTAAGAGCTCTGATAGTTACTCACAATGTCCACAGTAATCTCATAACTGGAAGGTTCTTCTCGTCTAAAGTTTTCAACATTTCAAAGCAGGATGCCTGGGAGACACTCTCCAAAGGCAAGTAAAAATTACACATTTTCTGGCTCTTCCTCCCACAGCATTTTTTGAAGCATGAAAATGCCTGCTTTCAAATATAGTTGCTATAACTAAAGAATTAAATATGCTTCTAGATGCCTTTTGTGATTCTGAACACAACTTAGAACTACTTGTACCTGAACATTGAAAAACACTGCTTCACGATAATAAACTTGTCCATTACCTTTGCCCAGCCGGTTCAGTCTTCAGTGCTCTTTTCTCTAGAACGGATGAAATAGCAACAGGCCCTACGGCTATACATGCTAGTTTCCAGAGAGCCTGAAAATAGAAAGAAAAGGCCGATTCTACAGATCCGTTTCACACTGACTATCTGGAATATGACTCGTGTTTGAAAGTAGTAGAATATATACACCTAGCTTTGACAGTGACTTTTAGGAAGTACTCAATAGTATGTAGTCTAGTCTACCTTAAAACTAAACATCCATTAGCTAATTGGTATAGATATCAGGCTCTGTTTACATAGTCCTTCTCATACAAGGTGACTGGAGATCATTCTGGAAAGGCTGAGCTTGAGGACTGAGAAGCTTGGCTACTGGAGGCACATGATTCTTGGGAAAGAGCTTCTGGTAAAACTAGCAGATTTCACTTAAAGGGATTGAGTGACAGAAGGGTACTTTCTGCAGCTCTGCTTAGCAAGGATTTCAACAAGGCCCCTCGCCTCCACATAAACAAAAGCAAAGCCTAACGTTCTGATTATAAAACAATTTTCCCCCAAAGTCCAGCAGCTTCAATGAAGCACCACTTCCTTGGTACCACAGAGATACAAAAGTAACTCTCTACTGCCAATGCAGAGTTAAGTGAAAGGTAAATCACCAACAATTTAATTTTTCTCCATATTCTGAACTCAGCTCACTTTTAGTTCCTTTTGCATTAATTATTTTATGCTTCAATAAGGAAAAACTATTTTCTAAAATGATCCTTGAGCCAGGTACCGTGAGTGGTGCATGCCTGTAATCCCAGGAAGCTGGTGAAGGAGGATTGTAAATTCAAAGCTAGCCTCAGCAACTTAATGAGACCCTGTCTCAAAATAAAAAATAAAAAGAGCTGAGAATGTGACTTAGTGGTACAGTGCCCCTGAATTCAATCCCCCAGGTCCAAAACAAACAAACAAAATCTAAAAAATAAAATACCCTCTGAAATAATTTTGTTTAGAAAAAATTTTCAGTGAAGAGAATTATGGACCCAAGGGACAGGGGAGTGTTTAAACAGCACGAAAACGAATGGAATAGCCTCTAACAAAAACCTACCAATTTCTAAGCCAATATCTGGGACCATTCAGGCAAGAAAGTGGTTCACCAGTGGCTGAAGAACAGCCAGCAAAGACCCATTGGCTTGGCTTTGAAGGTCATGCCTATTACTAAAGTTGCCACTTTCCCTCACCCCCCCCACCCCAATGAGCACACCAGGAGGCACTGAGGAAGCTCCTCTGAGATTCAGAACACAGGACTGCTGAAGGTTTCTCATCAGGGTTTCAGAAATGCTGCACTTTCTAAAGAAATAAAATTCAGAAAGTGCAGACACATTTTAAAAACTAGTTTCTAGGTTAGGTGACTACCTAATAACAAAGGTAAGAAATAAGGTTAATGCAACCATCTCTAAATCAGTGGGAAGAGGCAGTTTCATTTACACACATGCCTCATACCTATAGTTTTACAAAGCGATTTATACTCCATGAGGATTGTAATCTCTGTCCCATTTACAAAACTGGAGCATAATAACAGGACTATAATCTCTGTTCCACTTCCAAAACACCTTCAAAAAAAGATATACACACATATACGCAGAAGCCCTACGACTGTTCTCAGGCAGCAATGCCAATTGATGAAGTCTAAATGTCCATCT